GAGAAGGCCAAATGTCTCCTGGCCTGCAACATTTAGTGGCACTACAGCAGAGTGTGTTTTTGCTAGCTTGGCATGTGAGGCACACTCCGTCCCTCCTGGAAATGTTGACAACGGCCTGGTGAGCAAAGTCTGCTTGCGGGTCCAGCTGGGAATGGGTGCTTCACTGTTCCTGTTCAGCCAATCTTAGGGGAACCCGCTTCCTGAAAAACAAAGCCTACATAAGAACCTCAGAAGAGCCCTGTGGGATCAGACCAGGGGCCCATTAGTCCAGCATCCCATCTCACTCAGGGGCCAGCCAGTTCCTCTGGAGGGCCATGTCCAGATAAAAATAAATAAAAATGTCCAAGGCCTTCCCCCGGTGTTGCCTCCTGGCTCTGGGATTCAGAGGTTTAGTGCCTCTGAATGTGGAGCCACCATGGCGAGTAGCCATTGATAGATTTACCCTCCATGAATCTATCTAAACCCCTTTGAAACCTGTTTGATCCTGTGGCCATTGCAACATCTTCTGGCAGTGTGGAGTTTAGAGTATAGAGACTAGGCAGTGGATACCTCCTGGGTCCCTTCCACCCCCACCCCCAAGCGGCTGCAGCCAGTCTCTACCTGCTTAGGATTCAGGACAGTTTCCTTCTGGGGCCGAGGACAGGAGGCCAAGGTTCCTGCCCCTCTCTTTTTCAGAAACTAAACACTCGCTATACTTCTGGGAATGCAGGCAAAAAACAAGTTGCAATTTTTAAAATAACTTTGGGAGCTCGTGGCTTATAGCCATCTTCCCAACCCGGTCAACAGGCAGTGTTGGGGGCGAACGGGGGTCCGGGGCTTCCTTCCTCTGCCCAGATTTGGGGAGGGGGTAACGTTTTCTCTCTCGCTCCGCTCTCCCCTTTCTAGAACTGAAGATCCCGGACAACGCCAACGTCTTCTACGCCATGAACTCTGCTGCCAACTATGACTTTGTGCTGAAGAAGCGGGGCTTCTCCAAGGCCGTGAAAATCAAGCACGGCTCCAGCTCCACCCTGCCCCGGATGAAGCAGAAAGGCCTCAAGATTGCCAAAGGCATCTTCTGAACTGGGGGAGGGCCCAGGGCTTGGTTTCCCCCAAGCCGTCCTGGGGAAGCCATGCGTTTCCGGCTCTTGGCTGTCGGGTCCATCGGCGTGGGGTTCAGTCTGTCTTTTCCTGGCGGCGGCAGTGCTGCTAGAGATTTGCCCTTTCTCTGGGTTGCTGCGGCCAGGGGAGCAGAGAGAGGCATCGGCAAGCGCTGGATGAAGCCGGGGAGGGGGAGGGGGTCCCTTCTGGACTGCGGCTCGCTCCCGTGTTCCTCTTGCTCAGCCGGCGGCAGGCATTTCTCGCCTTGAATCAGGTCCCTTGCACTCTTTTTCTACGCGGAGGATTTTTATGCCAACCAACCAACTTTCCAAGGTTCAAGTGCCACACCCTCTCCACCTGTGGCCACCTGGAGCCAGAACCCACCTCTACGCCGTAGGTGCCTTCTGTCTACGCCGCTGAGATCGCTGCCGCAAAGGGACATACGATTTTTCTCTCCTGTTACGCTGGAACAACCAGGAAAGGTGGAAAGTGCCGGCCAGGGCCCAGGGAGGAGGCCAGCCTGCCCAACCCTGGAGCTGCTCTGGGGGGCAAGTGAATTCGCCATCCTTGTCGGAGACAGTCCCTACACTTAGTGACCCACGCCTGCCTCCAGGAGGAGGTAGAGGGGCACTTCCTCCTCCTCACACGCTGCCTGCAAAGAGATGCCGTGGCACCTTGTACGGATTTCACCCCCCCCCCCGAACCTGGACTCTCCGGGACAGAATGGCTGGCTCCCCTTGGACGCGGGAGTTTTCCCAGCACCAAAGATGAAATGTTTGTTTGCAGCCCGTAGCCTTTGGCTGCCCATCCAGGCCAACACACGGCACTGGAGCGAAAGGAACCTGTTTTCTGTACGGACTTTGTAAATAAAAACATAGGGGGGGAGTGGGGAGACGGAGAGAGAAGGCGCTTTCCGCTATGTGGGGCTGCCCCGCCTCTCTCCCTTTCCCCCGCTCTCCTTGGGGGAAGTGCCACTGCCAGGGTGTTCCAGTGAACTGACCACTCCGACGCGGAAGAACGCTGCCGTCCCGTATTCCGCCGCGGTCAGGTTTTTGTACAGAAACCCCACCCACCCCCACCCAAACTTACTATTTTTCCATATTTATTGGTTGTAAATAGACCAGTTGCGTTTGTACATTTTACTAACACGGTTTAAAAATCCACTGGGAAGCGCGCCTTGTTTTTTAATGGAAGACTTTGCGGGGGCGGGGTT